TAGACCGACAAGCTGTGTCCCTAACCAGAAAACCCCATTACTTTTATGATTAAAAACCTCTCCTTTTCGCCCTACTAAAATATTTCAATTGAAATTTTCTAAAAACATGCAGATACATTTCATGTTTTAGCACCATCAATCATTTAAAATAATAATTGTCATGCCAATCAGCCCTAAGATCCCTTACTTGTTTTGTACCTAGCTCAAGACTCCTCCCTCACACCCGACTCGACAACCCCGTGTACCCGACTCAGGCGATGCTCAAGTAGTACTTCTTATGAAGATACACCACTATCTCAGTTTCTGCAAAGACTGCATGTATGATAGCGTACAATTCCCTTGGGCTCAGTTTGCCCCTGTTTGGGTCATACACCGGCTTTGAGACCTCTGTTATCCCTCTTTCAATCATGAAGTCTCGTAGTCTTGTTAGTGCCAACATTACGTGTTCGGGATCAATTGTGTTCCTGTCATTGACCCTCGTCACTAGGAAACACAGGTATTTCCCCGGGACTTGTGCTACTGATGGTGGGAGCGCTGCCATCCCTCCCAGTCCTGGTCTCTGTCTGAACAGAAACTCTACGTTCTGGTATTCTCTCTTGAAGTCAGCTTCCAGTCTTGATTTGAAACTCATGTCAGCCGTGATGCAGATCGCGCTCGTTCTGTTTGACAGGATGAAGTCACTATCTGTTATCATGATGTTTTCCGAGTACTGATTGGGTATTTCAAATTTCGTTTTGAAATTCCGGCCTATGTTAGGCTCTGGCTCTTGTTCTTCCAGTTCTAATTCGCTTGTTTCTCTCACTTCCTTGAGCTTCTTTATCATCAAATTTTCGATGTGGGTAAGTCCAACCCCCACTCCCCGGACAAAAATATTTATCGACGTCCCCGTCGATGTTGTCGGGTCTGAATTGTCCGGTGGAATGTCCAGCGGCCTGTCTGTCGCCGTCCAGCCGAAGAGAGGGTCTTCTGACTTCTTGTGATTTTCCGCTGACACGTCGACTTGCTGGATACTCTGTCCTCCATGGCCTTCGTCTTTGACGTCGCGTATCCACTCTAGTATCCTCAAGTTCGTGTTCTCCCTCCTCTCTATCTCGCTCTGTTCGAGGTCCGTCTCCATTTCTGGTGTCGAGTAATCTTCCTGCGGATAGTGTCTACCATCATCAATGACCTGCCATTCCTCTTCGGCTTCCAGTTCGCCTGCACTCAGTAATTCCTCACCCAATTTGTCTGGCTGTATCTTGTCAATCAAGAAGTCATCCCCGTATCTGTTGTATCTTATACCCGTCCGTTTACGATTGCCAGTTCTGGTTCCCAGTGATATTGGTCGATCTGGCTCCATCCACTTCGGCACCTCATCTTGCTCCGGGTCGTTCCAGTCTTCTTCTGCAAACGATCCTGCTTCAGACTCCACCTCTATCTTTTCATTGTCGTCCAAGCTCAAGTTTTCATTGCCATCATTTTTCTCTCTGGTGCCCTTTTCATTCACTTCACACGCTGGCTCTACCACCAGGTACTCGAGACCCTCCATGTCTTTCGGTAGGCACCAGTCTTCCGGGGACGGGACGTGAGGCTTCAGATTTTCGTAATGTGCTGCTCGCCCAGTACTCAAGCGGTAGAACCGTCCTTGTTGATGTACTTCCGTTATCATGAATGGTCCCCTCCACTTCTTGAGTAGTTTCTTTGTTCCCTTGGGCGGTATGACATTTTGGAAGACCCACACCTACTGGCCCACTTCATATGGTTTTGCTTGTAATATTTTTTCGTCATACTTCTTGCGTTGTCTCATTTGCGCTTGCGCCGTGTTCCTCCTGCATAGCTCGTTTAGCTCTTGTTGTCTTTTGATCGCTTCCTTCACATATGCCTGAGGCGACGTCCTCTTCCCCTCGTATTCTGGGTAGAAGAATGTTAGAGGCATTGCCCTCTCCCTGCCCGTCAACATCATGAAAGGACTGATGCCAGTCGTTGAGTGCTGTGTACTGTTATAGGCTCCTACTACCTGTGGCTCCTACTACCTACTAACATGTTGACCAGTGTCCTGTTCTGTCTCTCTACCAACCCATTGGTCTGTGGATGATAGGTCGTCGAGTGTGCTTGAGCAATGTGCGATCTCTTCATCAATTCTTTTGTCAAGTCCCCCACAAAAGCTTTGCCGTTGTCCGACTGTAAAGTCATTGGACACCCATACCGCGATATCCAATGCGTTATCAAATGATCACATGTCTCCTCGGCCGAGGCTGTTTGGCACGGGACCGCTTCCGCCAACTTTGTGAAGTGATCTATTATAACCAGTATCTGGTTATATCCCGACTCCGTCATGCAGATTTTTTGATGGTCTATCTGCAGCACTTCATTGAACTCTGAGCTCTCAACGGACTTGAGGGGAAACTTCATCTTCCTTGGGTCTTTTACCTGGAGACATGCCAGGCAGGCATTCACCCATCTCTCGCAAGCTTTTCTCATTCCTGGCCAATCAAACCTGTGAAGTATCCTTTGTTGTACTTTGTCTATCCCCTGGTGGCCCATCTGGTCGTGTGATCTGAAAAGCACCTCCGTTTGGTACAATTGTGGTAGTATGATGAGGTTGTGTTTGTGTAATATCTTTTCCTCATCTCTCATCTTGCTCGCTACCACCCCATCAGCTGTGTGATAAAGTAAGTCTTTCTTTTCTTTATAGAACTGGCTCAAGATCTTCTAGCTGTCTTCCTCAAGTTCCCCCTTCTCCTTGACCCCCGACTGGATCCATTTGGAGAGGTTACTTGTCATTTTGTCATTCTTCTGGGCTCTTATTAGGTCTGACAGCCTATATCTCGCCTTGACATGCTCCTTTAGCGCCATGATCTGTCCATTCATCTCACCAGGGCTGTGGATGTCGTCACTCAGTTTCACGCATATCATCCTTTTCACGATTTTCATGTCATCTTCTGGTACCAGATTCGTTCTGACGTTTGAGTTGCACGATAGTTCCCTGAATGGGTTTCTTGAAACCGCTATTCTCTCAAGTTCTTCACCACTTCTTATCTCTTGTATGTCCAGATTGTACGTTCCTGAAGATGGGTCAGTTTGTAACTCCCTGTCGCGGTGCCTTGTCTTCTCCTCCGCTAATATCATGCACAGACTGTCTTGGCCTTCGCTGCTCTCATCCGAGTCTTCATCCCATTCTTCACGCTCCCCGGACAATTTTCCTTTTCCGGGTTCCTCTTCTTCTGTGAACCTGGACCACTCCCCGGACTCTTGATCTAGTCCCAGGTGTTCAGTTCCTTCTTTGAATATCGGGATCCTTCTGTTCTTCTTCAAGGTGGTTTTTTCAAGAGGCTCTTTTGGTAATTCGGGATGATCTTCAATCGGTTTGCCTGATTTGTCCAGCCATCTTGTGAGGGGAAGACTGTCGTACGTTTCCTTGTCCATGAAGGAGAAGCCCTCTTTGATTTCAGGTCTGTCTGCCTCTCTTTGTTCTTGTCTCTCGTAGAACTCCGTCTTCTTACTCAAGCTGTCGGCGTTTTGATGTTTATCCCGTGTTCTGTGCTCAATTATCATGTTGTATCCGTCCAAGCGAACTATCCACCTCCCAATGTAACTTTGGTCCATTGAGTACGTTTTCAGCCAGCTTAGTGCTCGATTGTCGACTCGCAGCTTGAAGGGCTCACTGCCTAGGTATGCCCTGTATTTCTCGACAAAGGTGACCACTGCGAACATCTCTGCTTTCGGTGCTCCGTACTTCATTTCTGTGTCACTTAGGACTTTGCTCCCGTACGCTATTGGTCTCAAGACTGTCTTCCCATTCCATTCTTGTTCCTGATGGAGAATTCCTGAAATCGCAACTACCGATGCATCCGTGTCCAGCACGTACATCCCCTTCTCAGTCGGCATCCCTAGTACTGGTGCCTCGCATAGCTCTTTCTTTATCCTCTTGAATGACTCTTCTGCTGCGTTGTTCCATGTGAACTTCTTGCCCTTGTGCCTCATCAACTGTTGCATCGGGTATACCTTGTCCGCGTAGCCTTTGATGAACTCTCTGTAGTAGTTAGCGAAGCCCAGGAAGCTCATCAACTGGTGTTCCGTCTTCGGTGACTTCCAGGTTAGGACTGCTTCCACGGCGTCTGGATCAGGTCTGATGCCGTGCTTGTCTACCATCCTGCCCAAGTATTTTATTGAGTCCTTGAGTATCTCACACTTTGATGGTTTACACTTTAGCCCCGATCTTTTCATGCACGCGAACACCTCGTCAAGTCTCTCAATGTGGTCTTCTAGTGTTGGCGTTGCTATTACCACGTCATCCACGTAGCACATTACCAGATTGCCATACTTCTTTGTCACGCCTATCAGCGCGTGTGCCATCAATCGCTGAAACGTGGCTGTGGCATTGCAAAGTCCAAACGGCATCCGTTTCCACTGAAACAGACCCAACTCGCAGGCGAACCCTGTCTTGTCCCTGTCCTGCTTCCGTAGTGGTACCTGCCAAAAGGCCGAGCCTAAATCAAGAGTCGTAAAAAATTTTGCATCACCTAACTTCGAGAGGCTCTCATCAATCCTAGGTATGGGATAGGCATCCTTCACCGTGACGGAGTTCAGGTATCGAAAGTCACAACAAAACCTCAACTGGTCGCCTTTCTTTTTGGCCATCACTACTCCACACGCCCACGGTGACTTGGATGGTTCTATCATGTCATACTCTAGTAACGTTTCGATCTCTTTTCTACACGCCTCCGATTTGTGCGGGGTCATGTGCCTCGCCCCCTCCCTGTGCGGTACCGCGTTCTCCTCAAGCTCTATTTCATGCTCAACGAAATTACAACACTCGATATCCGCTTTGTGCTTCGAAAAAACTTCCTCGTTCCGCTCTAGTACGTCCTTGATGGCTTCGAGCTGTTCATCTTTCAGTTTGCCCCTCAAATGTTCAATCTCCGGCAGAACCGGATTATCAGTTTGCATTTCATCTAGTGTGGGTCGCTCTGGAAAGTTCGAACAGCTCGACAGCCCATCGTCCGTTTCTGACTTAAGTGATTTAATAAGACCTGAAGAATCTTTTATTTTCTGCAATCGTCTCAAGATACAAATTTTGTCCCTGTGATTGGGACAATCAACAACTTCATTCTGTTTTGAGTTCTCAATTGTTTCATATCGAGTTTTAACCGGTAAAGCATATCCCAGTTTCCTCCCTCTCTGTATCGTGATCGGTATATCAAGGGTATTCAACAAGACACTGACGCAGATGCCGCTCTTCGTTATCGAGAATGATCTTCCTAAAACAGCAGCACTTTGACTATTAGGATTCGGAACTATACACACTTGCTTATTGTCACTTAATTCATTGTAATTTTCATCCGCAAGCCTACGATTGCCGCTTCATTCGCCTTTAGCCTCACCCTCCTACTCAAGAACACCGGTGCTTTGCTTTCATTTGCCATTATTAAATTTACCGGTTTGATTGCGTACCTCCTATCCGGGTTTCGTATCCTGAACATTGCGTTGTTTAGATCAATCGCTACATCAAAGTTCCTGATGAAGTCTCTGCCTAAAATAAATTGGTCAGACTCATCTAGGTTTTCTACTACAAGAAAACTCATCCACAGGTTACGTTCCCCCAGATTGAGCGCTATTATCGGCGTTCTGCCCAACACGCGCAGGGCCCCTTTGTTCGCAGCCGATAACCGTATTCTCGAATCTATCAAGTCATCTTTGTTGAAGCCCATTCGTTCCCAAGTTTCGATCGGTATGACACTCAAGACCGCTCCCGTATCAAGTAACCCACGTAACTGAGTCTTCTTGCCACTTATGTCTAGCACGTGCCCTGTCACATCTGCCTCTGTTCCGATGTGCATCGCATCTTCTTCAAGCATGGCGCAGTGTCCAATCGATCTCACCTTTAACTCTTCCTTCCCTACGTAGATTTGCCCAATTAGGTCTTCATCACATGTTATCATTGTTTTGGTATAGATGTTGATTCCATCTATATTTAACATCACCTCATGTGGACCATAAGCTTCTGTGTATCTGTTATCAACACGTACCGACTTGCTACCCCCTCGCGTGAGTAGTGCTCTCAATGCTCTAGAAGTCGCTTGTGGGCTTATTAAACTCAAGTAATCTGCGTACACATCAATGTGCGTTATTGTCTGGTCGCTCGGTTCGCTCAAGTTTCTGGTTACCTCGTGGCCGCCCACTGTGATTATCGACCCCGATTTTTGATATGCCGAATGGTTTTCCTGTCATCATCTTTACAGTGTTACAATTTCCAGTCTTTGTCGAGCCCGATACAGCCTCTGGTGCTGGCTTCGATCCAGTTAATGCTTCGTTGAAATTCTGCTTTTCGATCTCCTGCTTTAGTCGTTGTTCTATTTCTTTCGCTGCCAGATCCTGCTTCACTTTGTTGATGGCCTCCGCTGCCGCCTTCTCGTAATCTATTTCTGGGGCTTTCTTCGCCGTGGCCTCTGCTGCACTACCACATTGTGTTACAGTTTTCATTGATTTCGTTGGTAGCTCTACATTTGGTCCCTCCAGTTTCTCCGTCTCAAATTCACCTTGTCTGTTTCTCTGGTTCTGCACCGCTGCTAGCGCCAACTTGTGTTTCGGATGACTCTGATTCTTGACCGCTTCCCAAAACAACGGACAGTCCATCCTGAAGTGCCCTTCTTGGTTGCAGAAGAAGCATCTTGCTCCTATTTTGGTGATCAAGCCGCTATAGAACTCGTGTTCTTTCATCTGACTCATATCTTCCTCATCAGGTGCATATCCCAAACTCTTCATGCCCTGTTTGTATGTCGTGCAATCCGCCACATGATGATCAACTGACCCGCAGTTAGCACACGACCTGCCTTTGTCCATTTCATCTCTGGGCTTGTACCATGGCGACCTCTGTGGCTGACTCCCCCCTTGGGTGTTCCTTTTGTCTGAGTACGAGTATTTCTTGGGTTTCATCAGCATGTATTCTCTTGACTTCTGCCTCATCTCTTCTGGAGTTCGCGCATTATCTTTCGACAATGTGTAATACGTTGCTAACATCGTTCTCAAGTCATCACTCTTTACCCCATCAATGAACTTTGAGGCTATGCTGAAGTTTCTTCTATTGGTAGATTCTTCTGGGTCACTCCTTCTTCTCAAGCTCTCGAGATCATCTAGGAACCTGTCTATCGATTCGTCATCTCTCTGTCTCCTTTTTTCAAATCGCATCATCGCTTGATGACCCTTCATGCCTGAGCCGAATCTATTCAACAGTATTTCAAAGATTTTGTCCGCGGTATCGCGTTCTTCTTCTTTCTTCGCAACCACGCATTTTAATGCCGTGCCTTCTAAATTGCTGAGTATGGCTGTGCATGCTTGTCTTTCATCGTTCAAGTTGTCCTGTTCTAGGTGTAATCTCATCACTTCTACCCAAGTATCAATGCATCCATCAGAGTCATCTTTGAATTCTTTTGGCTTTTTGAATGTTTTTCTGGATTTTCCCTCTCTTCTATCATTCGAGTCAGTGTTCCTCGTGGCGAAGGCTTCTAGAGTTCTATTCATCATCTCCCAAGTGCTTGCCCATGTCATAGCATCCGGACCTGAGTTGCTGTTAGCTGTTGAGTCCCCCGGACCAGTCGTTGTACTTGACGTTCCATTCTTCATGATTGTTTTAGCAGCTGTTGGTGCTATGCTCACCGTATCCCGGGTTAAGGGCAACGGTGTCGATTGCCGTTTGTTCCTTTGTGGTTCCACAAAGTCAACTCTGGTGCCTTGCGTGCGATCCGCTGCCGGTCTTTCTTGTGAGGTAGAATTTCTCAAGATTGCATCCAATTTCGCCTGTATTGCACACAAACTTTCGGCCTGATTTTTGCTCATTGTGTCCATTCTCTTTTCCAGGCTACCTAATTGGCTGTTGACATCATCATATCGGTTTTTCAACTGTTGCATATCTTTTTTGATGTTCCTATCTCGTTCTTCATTGGTGGTTTCTACCTTATCTGTCATCTCCTTGAGTCTCTCGTCTGTTGCCTTAGCCAGGTTAAAATAACTATCCAGATACTCGTGTTTGTTGTATCTTAATTCTTTTCTTATCACTTCTCTGTCCTCTTCGCTATGCTTCAGTTTTTTGTCGATCTGATTCAGTTTTGCCATCAAGTCACCTAGCTCAAGAGTAGCCTCTTCATGGTCAGCCGTCGGTCTGTCTTTGGCTGTTGCTTTAGTTTGTTCCTCTCTTGGATTGGCTTCTGTCGTCTTCGTGCTCACTGTCTCAAATGTTCGTGCTCTTTCAGCTTTTGGTTCTTCAGTTATGTTTTCTTTCGTTTTTATTCCGACCATCATCGCCAACTTTTCTGTAAAAGATGTCTTTTTTACTTGAGAGTCTTCTTTCACCGTTTCTTCGGTGTTGCCTATTGCGTCTTCCACATTGTCTATTGGTGAGAACTCTATGGGTTTCGGGTTTGGTTCTTCTGCATTGGGCATTGGAGTTGACTCCGTCGCCATTTTCCTTGTTTCATCCACACTTTGATCAGGTGTCTCTAGATCAATCTCGATGGTGGGTTCTACTCCTTCCCCTTCCGTGCCCTCTTTTGCTCTGTTCTCCGTTGTACTCCTTGTGCTGACCATATTAACTGAAAAGCTCTTCTTTGTTATCTTCGGACCCATTGATGTTGTTTTGCGTAGCGACGAATTATACTTTGTCTTTGCTTCGGTAGATCTTTTTTCAGCTACCGGTACCCTGCTCCGCCTCATTATTTACTATTGTTATTATTTACAGTATTATTATCTACAAAATTTCTACTCTAAGGTTAAAACTCTAAGTAAAAAGAAATTGACAATTCGCTAAAAACAATTTTTCTTAAACTCTTGAAAACTTTTATGTGTTAGGTTAGGATAGGGAATGTGTTGTTATAATTGGTTACTTCAACCTAACTTAGTACTCTTGTAGTACCCCCTTCCTAATACTGTTCCAAGACTTTCTCTCTACCGTCCCAAGACTATTCAGTGCTGTCCCAGTACTTCTTATTGGTATCCTCAGACCAATGACCCAAGACCAACGTCCCTAGACCAATGTCCCAAGACCAACGTCCCAAGACTAACGTCCCGAGACTAACGTCCCAAGACTAACGTCCCAAGACTAATGTCCCAAGACCAACGTCCCAAGACTAACGTCCCAAGACCAATGGCCCAAGACTAATGTCCCAAGACTAACGTCCCAAGACCAATGGCCCAAGACTAATGTCCCAAGACCAATGGCCCAAGACCAACGTCGCAAGACTAACGTCCCAAGACCAATGGCCCAAGACCAACGTCCCAAGACCAACGTCCCAAGACTAATGTCCCAAGACCAATGGCCCAAGACCAATGTCCCAAGACTAATGTCCCAAGACTAATGTCCCAAGACTAACGTCCCAAGACCAATGGCCCAAGACCAACGACCCAAGACTAATGTCCCAAGACCAACGTCCCAAGACTAACGTCCCAAGACCAATGGCCCAAGACTGTTTCGTACCAAGACTGCTCTGGTCCAAGACTGCCCCAAGGCTGCACTGTCCCAAGACTGTGTTGCCCCAAGACTGTCCCCAGACTGCAATGTCCCAAGACTTCTTCGGTACTGTCCCAAGACTCGTCACTGAGTGTCTGGATATCGGATCTCTTTCTTCTTCGTTGTAGGGACTTCTTGATTCACTGTACCTTGTACCACCACTCAAGCTCTTGTGAAAATTTTCCCAAAAACCCTCTCTTAATGGCCAAATGCTAACCCCCCTTTTTGAATTACCTCTTTTTCTATATTCCAAGCAACTTGAAACCAAAACCTGTGCGCAGGTATCTTATGATCACCTGTTCGTATAAAAACCAATCGCAAATCCTCACCAAAATGCAACAATATATATAAAAAAAATTTTTAAACAAGAAAAAATAATAAAAGGAGACAAATGTCGACCTTCTGTCGAAAAAAAAATGTCTGGTACCTAACTGCCACGCGTTTTCCTCCCCCCACTTGCGATCTTATGGGGTATCACAAAAACTGTCTATATCCGTTCCCCCCTACCAATCCAACCAGCGTGCCAATC